AGGCATTGCAAGAAGACAAATACCAGAAGGCATTGCAAGGAGCGAAGGAGAGTGAGTTTTCTCCAAAGAATGATGGTATAGATGGAGCCGAACCACAAATAGACTGGAACCGCAGGTCGACAAATGAAGAGATGGCCAGAAGAAGTCTAAGTCCCCAGTTGTTAACAATTGAGAAAGCAAACAATGGAAAGTGTTGCAAAACCAGCAGGGGCTCTCAAAGGCAGGATACTTTCCCCAAGAAGAGAAGTCAGCAGAGGCAGAGAACATCCCATGCCAGGGACAGAGAAGATGACGAATACGATCAGCCTCCTGTAGCCGTATGTGATTCACCAGTGGATGAAAACCTGCTTCACGAGGTGGTTGAGAATCAGGGCAGGTGGACCAGAGACAGGTGGAAGCAAACTCACAAAGCCAGACAAAAGTGCAAGCAGCAAGGTGAATCCTAATCGCAGAACCAGGACATTCTTCTATGCTTCCAATTAATGCAGACTTTATCCTTTAAACATGCCATGCAGAGCTGGAGTCACTTTTTAGAGAAAGATTAAACGATGAAAAAATAATTTAACACACCTTTAAAAAAGCACATTTATTATGATTATGATTCATTACATATTGATCTTCACAAATGTTAGAACATGTAGAGCAACACAAAAGATTAAACGGTTTTTATAAAGTACTCAGAATTTACCATCCGTAGTTGTTTATAGCTCAGTTAGCAATTTTTGAATGTTACATGTACAGTAGTTTACTGTTATTATCTGTAAATGTAAAATTGAAATTTAATTTAATTTATACTTGATGTTGAAGAGAACGCATTTCTATTAAATTAAAACCAAGTGTTAATCAGTTTTTGCACAAATTTGCAGTATACTTTATGTATTTTTGAGTGGTAAGCTACAGGGTGATCTTTGTATATCTAGTTATTTGCAAGTAAATTAGATATTTTAAGAATCTGAAAACAAAAACTGTGGTACCCTGAAATGTTTTTTTGTTTTGTTTTAAACAATTCCTTAACAAGGTGTTTTAGAAGAAAGATTTATAAAGAACTTCAGAAGCAGAATATTTTTTGAGTATGGTAAGCTTTTATAAAATTAAGAATACAAAGACATTTAAAGATAAATAGCATTTCTAAAGTTGTTTTCTTTCTTGAATGTATTTGTTGTACAACATAAAATGTCTTAGGTTAGATATTCCAAAACAACAGGAAAAGTGAAAAGAGCTCAGCTAGGCACCACAGTCATAAGAAATGGGAGCACAAACTGTAGTTAGACCACAAAGCAAGTAATATTCTAGAGGTGTGATACTGTTGTGTCATACAAATGACAAAGTGCAGGAGTCTGTGATGCAGAAGTCTCCTTATAACATATGCATATGGAAGTCTGGCTTGCAACCACCAAACTTAAAAATAAGTGGCTGAAGATGGTCCTTTATACCTTAAAACAAAACCAGTTACTATGATACATTCTAAACAAATGATAAGACAGCAACACATGCCAATTAATTATATCTAAGTTGCAGACTAGACAACAGTTAGTTCTTTTCACATTCTGGGTGTACAGCCAGCTTACCAAATACATGCCCTTTAACTTACTGACCAAAGACAGGCAGCATCTTTATATATTTGAGTACAAAGCTAACTTCAAGACACTGGAGTGCATAGTTTGCAAAAATACAAAAACAAGAAATTATATTATTATCTTGCTTCCCAGGTGTCTCTCTTATCTCTTCAATACCAACCAGTGGCACAAGCTACAGTATGTCTCTTACTCTTTCAGCCAATAGGATAGAAGAGGCAGACAGGAGGCAGCTTTGATCACAACTACTAACAATATACCCAACAGCCAACAGTTATTGGTTAATGTTTCTTAAAGATCTATACTGGGTTATTAATGGTCCATAACCAACAAGGGGAGTCAATGTGGGCTCTTGCCACCATCTTGAAACAATGCACCAAGGTACCCAACTTCTTGTCTTTCTAAAATCAGTCTGCTAAGAAATCCACGATATCTCTTATAGGAATATTAATTGAAATGGCAAAGCTAATTAATATGCATTCCCATAATTACAGAGACTGCATGTAATTAAAAAACGCCACTAATCAGAAAGGTTTTTAATTCATAAATAATGATGTTTAATCTCTTTGTAAAGACCTTTTGACCATACTGGAAATAAAAACGGCAAACTTTCTGAATGTTTCTTAAAGATCTGCTGGGTTTTTAATAGTCTCTGTATTGGTCTTAAAGTATGTAAAGGTATTAAATGACACAACATTTTAAATACTGGATTACGATGTAATGAAAATAACTATTTGTAAATATATAAAAATCAAATTTAATGCTACAAGAGCCATTTAGTCAAATAAGCCTCATGTAAGATCTGAAGAGGACAAAAATTCCACTAGTCCAAAAAAAAAAAAAGAAAAGCATTTGCTGTGTATTTGGTAAAAATGACAAGTGGACAATCGTATTTGCTGGATCAACTTCACTGAGTGAATGAAGAAATTCTTCAAAATTCAAATTTGTCAGTGAAACCAAACTCAAAAAGCAATTTTGATTCTCATTGTTGGATTACTAAATATTTAATATTTTATTTCCGAATCAACACATTTGGGGTACATTTTTTCAATCATTTATTCTCAATCTTAACAGAAATAGTTAAAATCACTGATTTAACTTCCTTTCTATAGCACTTCTTTTTCTGCCTACAGTTGTATAACCTAACACTTGGTTTCATTTTTAATATATTTATTGATTTAAGAAGCCATATCAGATTTTTCATTTGCTTTAAAACCAGCTTCGGATGTTTGAATTTTTATTTATCATGGGAATACGTCTCATAACTCAACCAAATGAAATACCTGACAGTCCAGTTAAATAATTAATAATAGTGACAGAATGTCTCAGACCCCTAGCTGGTTTATTAGAATTTCAAGTCACAAGAAATTTAGTGGCTACTTGCTTGGGCTTGCTAAGATGGGTTAATGTTTAAGGCCTATGTAATACGGTTGATTGGCTTCAGTGCTCATCCCTAAGCCAAAGAAAATAAAGGTTAATTAACAGCCGTGAATGCTGGTTGTCACCAACACTGCATCGATTACTGGGCTCAAAATGCTGCAACACAGAGTCCACTGTTCATTCACTCTTCAGTCTTGTTCAATTCAAATTACCCTGAGTAAGAAGAATGGACAGTAAGTTAAATTTCATCAGCTCTTCCAGTCTCTTATTTCTGTTCTAAGTTCCATTTTTTTCCTCTTTCTGTGAAGGCTTTTATTAGAGAATTTATTTTATCATGCTTCTGTAGAGAAGATGCTATTCCGAGTTTAAACTTCTGTTAAAGAAATCAGTTTAAAGTTCTGCATGACCAGTAATACAGTATTTGCTTTAGCATTCACAGCCTAAAGCTACAATGCCCCTCACAGTGTGCACTTGTTTTCAGAGCTGTTGAAGATTCTTTCTCTGACGGTCTTGGTTTCTGACTATGCTCGTCTCTGTCCCATGAACTGCAAGTTCTGTCTTACAGGCCTGGCGGACTGTACACATGTTTCCTCTTTGACAACTGGTAAGAATTGGCACGTCCGCTTTGTTATCGAGTTTGGACATCTTTTAAATCACCCTTTTTTTATTCTGCAAAAAGTAACTACATACTGTATTGATCTTCAAGAAGAATAAAATTGGTTCATGTTTTGATGTTCTGTTTAAGTTAATATATACTGGGTATAGAGGCATGCATCATCATTTATATTCTTGTACATTATATTTGTAATGTTGCCAAATCATAGTTTTCATATGTAAAATCATGTCATGCACAGCTTTAGGTAATTTATGTAGCACTTTATGTGAAAGTCATGGGAGAACAGAATTTTGCCTAGTCATTAATTCTTACATTTGTAATTGAATGACCTTATTTATTCAAGTGTAATAATAAATACACTAAAATGAAATGGATGAATAGAATGTTTCTCTTCATCAAATTCAGTATTTGAATCTTTTAAATTATTATACTTTTTGAATGATTTGAATACAATGTGGTTCTAACATAAAGCAATTAAAACATTAAGTACTGTGCATGGAAGAGCTTTCTAGAATAATTATGGGCAAAGGCCATTGGTTTTGACACAATACATGCAAATAAAACATGGATTTTTAATGGAAATGTTTTGTTGGAAGTTTTGGCAGGTATCCCCACCTCTATCGATAAGATACTACTACGGGGCGGACCTCTGACCCACTTTCCAGCTGAAGCTTTCAGAAACTTTTCTCAGCTCAAGGTTTTGTCCATCAATAACTTTCCTCTTTCTTCCCTGCCGGAACACTCATTCGCCCTGGCCGAGCCGAACAGCTTGACAGAGCTGGACCTCAGCAGCAACCTCATCCGCGGCTGTGGAGTTGAAGGTGCTGCCTTTGCTGGCCTTCACAACCTCACTGCGCTGACCTTGTCTGGCAACTTTCTAGGTAGTCTGAGAACGCCGTGGTTTCAGCCCTTGGCAAATCTTGAAATTCTTAAACTGGATAACAACGGCATTACCTATCTTCAACCAAGAATTTTTGAGAACTTGCTTCACCTCAAAAAACTGAATTTAAGCACCAATCGAATGACCTACGTTTCCACAGATACGTTTTTCGGTTTGAGATATTTGATGGAACTGGACTTGTCCAGTAATCAGCTGATGTTCGTCAGCGGCGATTCCTTCAGACCCCTCACCCAAGTGAAGGAGATTGTTTTGTTTCGTAACAACTTAACATCTCTTCCCTCCATTCCAAAATCCACAACAACTTTGCATCTCCACACCAACCCATGGCTGTGCAGCTGTGTGCTGGTAAGCACCATAACTGCTTTGAAAGTCAAGGTCATGGATCCCACCAGAGTTACCTGTGCCAGTCCAGCTGAGATTGAAAGACATCCAGTTCTTGAAGTCTACCACGTTGTCTGCAATACAAATTCATCTGAAGATAAATACCCACATGACTGCACAGCAATACTGGACTGCTGCCAGTACTGGGTTTATGGATTGATGGGTAATATAACCTCCTAAATCACATATGAAATACCACTTTATGTTCACCAGTATGATTAGTGTACCTATGGAGAATATATGCACTATATTTTTTTTAAATTGTGGTGACTGCTCTTGCAACTTCTATGCATTTAAGATGTCGTGGTTAATAAGTATATTAAACGAATATCGTGTCACTTAAATCAAACACTGACAAATGGAAACAAATACAGCTGTTATGGCTATTATATACTGTATCTGTTGCTCAGTTCTTCAGTATTTTAAAACTTATACAATTTTTCTAACACAAAATGTAAAACAACATGGTTTCAATTATGTCGATTTTATCCTAGTGGAGGAGTACGGCCCACTGAATGCTTTTATTGAAACATTTTTTTATCTTTAACTAAGGTTACATGGCACCATTTTGGCCTGCTATATTAGGATGTGTACACATAGACATTTCCAAAAAGATGGCAGTAAGGATTCTCCTTGACACATTTGATTTTTCTGTCTTCCAGGAGGGTTCATTCTGTTACTGTTTGTATTTCTGCTGGTCTGTCTGATGCATAAGCACTGCAGACAAGATCGCCTCACTGGCCCGGTGTCTGGGAGGAAGGACTGGGACACTGTTGATTGTGAAAGGGGTTTTGGAGACACAGATAACAGGCTGTCCAGTGGTGCAGATCGTCCCCATTCTCCTCCACACTGCACTTTCCAAGGGAACCATGCCTTGACGTCTACAAGAAGAGGAAAGGAGGGAAGAATCACTCAAAAGATTGATCAGATCCGTTTATGCAGGACAGCTCCTGACTTGACCTGTCTGCCTATGGCCAGCAAACTGGGTCAAGTGAAAAAAAATGTAGAAAGAACAGACCATTTTGAATCAGATGGTGAGTCTGTAGCTTCCAGAGAAATATGACATATATTACCTTGATGGACCCTTACATGGTATTTACAGAAGCCTATAAGGAAGTGCTTGATATTTAAATGTCTCAATGTAAAAATTCACATTCTGGTGTGTGCTGTGGATTTTTCAAATTCATACCTTTCAAGTGAGTCCTATTTATATACTGGACCTGAGTGACTAATGAGAAACACTTTTCATTATACTATGCACCTGTGTAAGTATAATGACAATAAAGTTGAATTGAATTGAATTTTGCTTTTCTTTTACAGACGCAGAGTATTTCAGAAAGGAGGGTGTGGTCCACTGTGAGGAACACAACATCTATGTTCAAAATCCCAGCCTGCATGACATCGACAATGCCCAAGCCCAAATTGGAACTCAAGTTACAGCTGGGATTTGCAGTGTGGAAGATAGGCGCTGGCTGAAAAGAGCTTTAAGTAAAAAAAGCAAATCCTGCCACAATTTGAATTTCAATATGAGGGATTTGTCTCTTGAGGGGGAAGAAAGAATGTGGACAGGTGATCTTGACCTAAACAAAGCTGCAAAACCTACGAATGAATCATTGGCCAAAGTTCACGAAGCAAGTTACCAATTCAAAATGGAGGATCATTCTAAAACAGAGGACCAGGGCTTGCAAATTTTGGAAGACTTCCCAAGTTGTTTGGTTTCCACTAAGAGGTTCTTCTTCAAGGCTGATAACGCCCCACACTGTGGTGATGTGGGATGGGATACTGATGAGCTTGAAGGCAGTTTGGGGCCTCCAAACTTTCAACCGTGTGCTGCCGAAAATGTAAAAGATGAGGGACCTGACAAAAAAGACGAGAGGGATGAGGCCAATGAGTGCAGCAAGTGGCCAGGGGTCGAGGGTCATTTGTACAGAAAGGCTCATGGGAAAAATTGTTTCAAGAGCCCTGCAGTTTCCGATGCTAAACGTAAACAAGGCCATGCTGTGTTGCAGCGGAAGAAGACAAAGCAGGAGAAAAAGAAAGTGGTCTTCTGGACAGGTGAGCTTCTGACCCGAGAGAGGTTCTGGAAGTATCACCAGAACTGCTGTGATGAGTACAAGCCCTGTCCAGCGGCCAGGACTATTCTGAAACAGCTCCTAGCGGCGCCCCCACGCGTGGTCACTGGCAAGGCCTCAATCGAAAGGCCTCCAGGTGACAGCGACCTCCTGCGAAACAACAAAATGCTCTCAGTCAATCTCTTACTCAGGCTCCAGGAGAGAGAGGAGAGGAAACGGAACAGGAAGAGTGCTTTGAAATAGATTCAATCCAGTCTGAGCAAAAAAAAAAATGTCATCAGAATGAATGTATTTCAATTTTACAATTTAACCTACTGTACATCCATATTCTAAATCATTTTATTCATTTGATTACTATTAAACATTCTTAAGTGAAAATGTGAATTAATGAAAAACAATTACAGGCATGCTAGTTGGAAGCAAAATTGACCTTGGAATTTACATGTTGTCTGCTGTTCTTTGCTTCGTCAAGAGAGTATTTTGTCCAGGGCATCATTTTAAATATCTTATTTTTAATGGTGTGACAATAGAAGTGACATGAACAATTACCAAATTGTTTATGCTGGGGCAGGTCAGTGGTCATGGTGTACAAAGGTAAAATAAGATCTAAGATGTCAGTAAAAAAAATAGATTTTAGATTTTAACTATTAAATATTAGTCAATTCTTTACATATCACTTTATACTATTTTCTGCCGTTGATTTTTTCCATCAATGACACACACACACACAGTACAGTTTCTGTTTGTAGTACTAAGACTGGCATGTGTGCACCTGACAAGCTGACAACTCCACAATACTCCACAGTATTGTTGCTATACAATACTTTTTAATTCTGTAAAGTGCTCTGTGCCCAACAGTTGTGAATTGCCATATAGCAAATAAAACACTGATTGGGAGCCCATGACCCTGGAGGAAGAGTCTTATCCATTCTAAGCCCAGAGCTGAATGGTGTATATTCTGGCATTTTATTTTAAAGCACCTAAATTAGTTCAGCTGAATTGTGCTTTCTTCCCCCGCAGCATGATTACATCTTAAATGACAGGAAGTCAATAATACAGGAAGGAACTCCTACCAGTGCTTCAAGCCATGTGCTCATAAGAGCAGAAAGCTCTAATTCCTTAAAAATTACTTTTAGTAACACAGTCGCAGTTATGTTTATTTTGTTGCTCACTGGATTTTATAGATGTTCTTTGTGATTAAGGATTAAGTGTAAAATAGTCTCTACAGTCTCTACTTTAAAGACTGTCAAGATAAAATAAGATTTGATTAGGGAATAAATAATTGATGTTTGCTGTAAACATTCCTGTAAGAATGTGCAACACTGCTTTGGGTGTTGTTCAGTTTTAACAATTTTGCTTTGTGCCCTGAAATTCGACTAGGAAAAAAAAGTGCTGAGGCTCAGCCTTCTGCTTCAAGTTCTGACATGGGAATCCGCAGCTGAATAGAATCTTTCCTTGTAAATTCTTCAGGCTAAAATATATTAAAGCTTGGCTAGACTATTTCAGCAGCACACTGTAAACAATGCACATTTGTAAAAATTAAACATGCCAAACACCAGGTTAAACTGGTATGTTGCATAAATGAAATTATGTAAATAACATGAAATATATTAACATTTGACTTCTGATACTTGTCCAATAAAACAGTGAGAACTGATTATGGCTGCATGCAGCTAATTTATTGTTTTTTTTTTTACATAGAACAATGAAGTACGCTGACTTCATATAAGAAATTTTACAAAACAGTTTATACTTTTTTTTCCTCCTTAACAGAATATTTCACACATTCAGAAAAGAGGGTGTCGCATTGGAAGTAAAATACATTACTTTTGGCAAGGAGAGAACATGCATTTCTGAATTGTTAAACATATAGTGTAGAGATGCAATAAAATATAAAGTTTACAACAGATTTGCAGTGCAGTAAAGGAGTTGGGTGATTTTTTAAAAACTATATACTCAAGTCTGTAGTTCATAAAATCTGCACAGGGCTAAAAATAAAACAACTGATGAAGATGAAAACACATACTGTGAGAAGCAAATTAAAACATGATCTGAGTGTTCACAAAGAAAAAAAGGTTCGAAAGAAGAAGAAACAACTCAGTCAGTCTAACTCATTTGGTTGCCAAGTTGCTCCATGATCCAAAAATGTGAAGTGTGTTCACTTGCCAAAAGGAGTTTTAACAAATGGTTGGGAGAGATGACATCAGTTCTCCTTCAGCTCTTGTGCTCTAACTTGTAATTTTGCCACATCCTGAAAAAAAACTAGAAATACCATAGTCTGCCTCCGTCTTGCTGGCATTTGTGATCCTGCATCGCTCCCCCACTCTATCTCCACCTGTGAGGCTGTCCCTGGGTTAACTTTTCTTCGTTTCCTACAGCTTAGCGATTGGCTCTCAGGCAAGTGGATTAAGTCAATAGCTCCCCCATCCCTAACTCGCTTGTGTACATCATTATTGTACAAAAACATCATTATTCCTTCAGAAATATCACCAGACTACCTCTAGTCTCCGTGCGTAGCTTGGCACATTAGTACCTGTCTGACCATCTTTCTACTTCCCACCTTATAACCTTTGTTCATCTGATTCTGGTCTCCTGTCCCCCCCCAAGCTTGCTTGCACCCTATGGGTGACATGGCCTTCTCCTGCTACATCCCGAAGCTCTGGAGTTCTGTTCCCAAGGATATCAGAGCCACCTTCTCTGAGCACTTTCAAATCCAGACTCAATACCTTCTTCTTCAGAAAGGCTTTCAGTTAAATCAGTTCTACAGTATGTCTGCCCCTTGCATCTACTTCTGCATTCTAAACCCTTGTGCAGATTAACTCTTTTTCTTATTTTTTTTCTTGCTTAAGTAATTTTAAAGGCACTATATAGAATAATGATTATTATTTATTATTACATTCCTAAATGTATTTTCATACCAGTTGATGTCATACCTTGCAAACTACATCTTAAATCGTTTTGTCATTCTGTGCGAGCTTAAGAAACAAATACAAATTCAAATGAGAATTTACATCATATCAGTTATGAAGATATACTGTATGAAGAATCGTGCGGTTTGCCTCACACAACTGGGCACTGAAATATCGAAAATGTTTTTAGTATCGCAGCATGCATCACAGGATTCCAAAACTTAACTGTGCCCACAGAAGTTAGTACATGTCAATTCCTTGGTGATTCTGGAAATTCATTTCCTACAAAAAAAAAACAAAAACATGCAGATATGTCTAGGAAACCTTACAGTCCTGCTCCTATCCCACTCAACTGTGGTGAGCAGAGGCCAATCTGGTTGATGTAGTAGAGGACAAAAAAGCATTGATCCAATTATCACTGTTGTGGATTTTTTGTTTTCAACAGCTCTGTGAGAAAGTCACGGGTACAAATTGTCACATCCCCGTCACAAAGAAACCTTGTAAGATCTGTGCAGCTTTTTGCAGTGTTCAACCTCTGTGCCTCTGAAATCAATCAGGTTTAACCTCCCCCCTTGTGGGTATTCCACAGAATTGATTGGTTGTCTGCTTCCTCACATTTCTAAATTATAGATACGGTCTCAACAGGTTCATGAAATGTGAGTGAGACAGTACTTGCAAAAGAATGTACTGAGAATTTGTGCTATAGGTTTTTGGTGACACAGGCAGGCTTTCAGATATGCTTGTCAATACTGCATTAGAATATTTACTCGTTCTTTGCAAAAATGAAAAAAAAGTGAAGAAGCACTCAGGCATTTATTGTTTAAGTCATAAGTCATAAGGATCCCCAGCCCCTTCTCTTTGTATTGTTATTGTGACACCTGTGATATTACAACATTTTTTTATGCCTTTCGGCCCATAGAGCTCACAGTAGCTACATAATGCAGGGATGTCATCCAGCTGTTCCTTAAGAGAAGCCATGGCATCAGCTTCAACATGGCTGGGTAGCTTGTTCCACACCCCCACAACCCTTTGGGTAAAGAAGTGCTACCAGTTCATATAATAGAAACTGCCCTTCTTTAGCTAAATGCATTAAATAAAGCCACATGTAGTACAAGTATATTATATACTGTGAACTAAACTACTTCAATGACATATAAATTGGCATCCTTTTCATTTCATACATAAAATTTGGCAGGGTTACAGCAAACATTTAAATATATTTACATATACTTTTCATATAAATTTTATAACAAAATTTACATAAAATAAATGATACATAAGTACACATATACAAAATCACCAGCTTTTGGAATTGCAAAGCCTCCATCTATTAAGACCACTCAAGATCGCATCAAAGCACATAACACAACTGCTGACAACAGCAATAGCCCTGTATCCTAGCAACAACAGAGACTGCAGGTCTCGGCTGTGTGTAACCCTATGACTTTTACAGTAGAATATTTTTTCCACATACAGGTACAACAGAATATAATAATACATGATATGACCACAGCACCACTCTGTGTGTGTGACGGTGTGCGTTAATGCGTAACTGAGGTACTGGCTGATATCTACAGTAAATAAAAAATACAAACATTGGATAGGCCTCAGGACATTCCTTCTCTATGCTGTTCGAGGTTCCAGAAAAATCCAAACGTGGAAGTCCTAAGTTGGCAAAGCTTTGACTTGCTGTAAAATGTTAGACACTGACTGTTCTGGTGTGATGATTAACAGCTTCAATGACAGTAATGAGAGCAAAATGATACAACATTCTCTAAAGCGAGTAATTCTGAACCTTTTTGGTGAGCATCTTGTCATCACCTTCACTGGGAACTGCACAACGGTGTGTCCTCAAACACAATCCTTCCTCATCACAACAGGCAGTGCCACCCAGCTCTGTGAGAAACTCTTAAACATTTTTATTATCCTACTCTCTTTATTGAATTTTCCCCGCTTTATATCAAAACACAATTTTAGCATGATCTTCCATTTGAAAGGTTATCAATTTTGTTTAAAAACAAATGGTTAATGTTGATGTACTGTCAGAAAGTCGGTGTCATAAATAATTTAATTTTTATTTTAACATGTATATATATTTTCTGTGATTCATTGTACAGTGCCATACAGATGATGTAGCATGAAAGACACTATAAAATGTTTTATTTTGTTTTAAGTGCTTTATGGTAAATTAAGAGAAGCTGCAGAGAAATGTGCTTCTCTCTTCATTCAAATGAGGTATTAAACAATTCAATAAATTAAAAACTATATGTATATATACAGTACAGACTATGTAAACATTGTATAGAATGTCCAACTTTTCTACAGACACCACCTAATCTGTAATCTTGTGTTTTTGCTTTAAGGGCCAATGAAGCAGTTGGCAGGTATAATAATAATTGCTTACACTTATATAGCGCTTTTCTTGACACTCCACTCAAAGCGCTTTACAGGTAATGGGGACCCCCTCCACCACCACCAATGTGCAGCATCCACCTGGATGATGCGACGGCAGCCATAGTGCGCTATAGATAGGGGTTATTAGGAGGCCATGACTGGTAAGGGCCAATGGGAAATTTGGCCAGGATGCCGGGGTTACACTCCTACTCTTTTCGAGAAACGCCCTGGGATTTTTAATGACCACAGCGAGTCAGGACCTCGGTTTTACGTGTCATCCAAAGGACAGCGCCTGTTTACAGTATATTGTCACCGTCACTTTACTGGGGTATTAGGACCCACATAGACCACAGGGTGAGCACCAACTTCTGGCCCCACTAACACCTCTTCCAGCAGCAACCTTGGGGGAGGTCTCCCATCCAGGTACTGACCAGGCTCACACCTGCTAAGCTTCAGTGGTTTGCTAGTGGTGAGTTGCAGGGTGATATGGCTGCTGGTATAGATATCATACTCATCCTCCCTTAAAAAGTAATCAGTTACAGGTTTCATCTATGATTTAAAAATGTAGTAGTGAGACCTTTTGTCTTCTCAAGTTCAAAGTGTTTGTGATACTAATCCCTCATTTCAGGGTTTTAGTCTACATACAGTACGGTGCAAAAATTATAGATAGCTGATAGTCAGAGGAACAGTGTGCAATCAAAGTATTAAATCAAACCAACCAAAAGTAGCAGCTCAGTATTAATATTCTTGATAAACAGAAGTTAAAAGCAAAATTAATGAAACTTCTGATTTTGTCTGTTCAGACATATTAATTTTTTTGCTAAGAAACTAAAATCTAAAGAACAAGATAAGGTTAAATTATAGGATTGTGTATTTAGAAATATGTGCAAATAATCTAATGTTCTGTTCTTACAATATTAAATGCTCCATTTCATACAATTTTAAAATATTTTATCGATTAGTGTTGATAGGCACACTTGAGGTACACCACCATTTAATTGTCTTAATTAACCCTTAGCTACTGTTTGACAAAAGCATGAATAAATCTGGAAGCCACAGTACTTACCAATTTGGCTGGCAACAGGATTCTCCAGAAAAAGTGGAATGAAACTTTATAACCATAACTTGAAATAAATAAGGCAGAAGATAAAGACAACGATGATTATAATCCTGTCACTCAATATACAGACCAGCTGGCATATGGCTTAGTGATGCATACACATACAGTATACAGGCTTTAATAAGGAGACCACTGAGCCACACTAGTTAACACAGGTGTGCTGATACACAGTAGATTCTCAGACACATGAACACCATAGTTATCAACAGACTATTCAACAATCCTTAACTCTCCAGACTAGAATTGATCATGAGGTGTGAGTTTGGATATTTTTAAGATAAAGATTAAATGTATTAAATGTTTGTTTTTAGTAAGAAGGCTTTAAAATAGTTTAAAACGAAGCTCTTATTTTGTTTTCATTTTTGTCCATGTATAGCAGAACACTAAGACATCCGAAAAGAAAAGATTACTTGCACTTTAAAAAGAGAAACTGAGGGGAAACTAACATACAGCACTGTACGTGCAGAAAATAGTTTTGCACAAAAAATGAAGGGACTGTTTAGCATAAGGTTTTGACAAGTTAAGGAAGCTTGGATATATAGGTTATGTTACAGATCAACTTAAATGATTCAATTTGGCATTTTTCTTCTTAAAGCTTTTCAAATCACTATAATGTGTATTATGTGAATTTTCAGTTGTGAAAGAACATCCATGACCTTTTTCAGAAGAACATACTGTGCATTTCCCTCATTCCAAACGTGCTTAGAACTCTGGGGTTCCACTGTTACTATGATATGTGATGAAGTCACTAACAGAATAACAAGAATCATACACGAACCAAATCAGTTAAGACAACAGACTTCTCAGTTGCTTGCGAAAAAATTCTAACCTACGCCAAAATAATGATACACACCTCTGAAAATTGAATCGTGTGGCGCAGCTGTGTGGTTTTTCATTAATCTCAAAAGAATCAATAGTGAAATAATTTAAGAAATCTGGTGCATCATGGCAAAAGGCTGTTAAAGATGCGTCTTGTTCTCTGCGTGACCTACTAGCAACATTTACTCTCTGGGGGGTCTCACCAGTTTCCTGGTGATTGGCTCTTTGACTTAGGTAACCACCGTGCGAAGTTTTCCTTCCCACAATCATCTTAGTAGGTCAACAACTATTTTATACAAGCCTTGCTCCAACCCACATTTTTTCTGGGCCTGTTGTGTGGATTCTTCTCACACAACCGCACTGATTAGAGTGATTAGAGAAGTGCTGCCATTGTGGAAGGGGTCTGTCAAACTGACACTTGCTCATCTCGGTTCCCCCCCTTCGTGTTCTCGTCTCACCAGTCCGCCCTCTCCCCCGTCTCAGAGCGGACAGCTGCCCCCTGCCAGTTGCTGTGTCAAGTCCAAGGCACTCCCAGGGCGTCTTCGCCAAGCAGAACAAGCAGCAGGTCGGTTTGGGGCTGGAGGAAGGGAGCCCTTTTCAGAGCTGGGTCTCGTCTCTGGTCTCGCTCCCGAAGTCTTGTTTCATTATGCCTTTCGCCGCTTGAGGCTCATTAGGGACGTGAGCCAGCGGGTCCGATCGGATTAGGTACCTAGAGCAGAGGAGAGGAAATAATTAAGAATCCCTCTAAATCCTCTACATCAGCGTTTCCCACTTTTGCTCATTCAGGCTGGTTTTTACTACAAGCTCAGCTCCGAGTCATGTAATTTGACTCTTAATTGAACTAATAATGTGATTAATTTAAACTTAATGGTTTCAGCTCTTCAGTTTATTAGAGGTTTCATTTTATTATTCAATTTAATAAGTGACAAAATGTCCTTCTCAATTAAAAGCTGGGGAACCCACACATTGGAATTGGTCATTCCTGATTGAAGTTGAACTTGCAATATGAGGCTCCAAACACTAATTGATTTGTTTTAACCTGGAATTACCATTTAGTTTTTTGTTCTGTTACTGTATACTTACCCAATTGGTAATCAGCCAATTGTATATGAAGTGGCTTTATGGTTAAATCTCATTTATCTGCTTGGAAGAGAGTCAGACACAGGTGCATTCTCCTCTGACATGCCAGTTATCATTTGCCACATGGAAAGCTCCACAGGAGAGTGAGCACCAGCCGAAGGAGTGGACATTCATCAATGTTTCCACAAGTCTGAGGGGCCAGGAAAGTCACAGGAGCACCTAGGAGATCAGGCCTTATCTGACCAATCCCCACTCTATCCCAGCCACACTGAGCTACTGTAGCTGTGCACTGCTGCTTGGGCAATCCCAATGGCCTCCACTTGTTTGAATCTGTTCTTAATTCAGTCACAAACAGCTAGCGCCATACCTCTGACTTGAACCAGCAATGATGGGTTCCATCGGTTCCTACGGTTCGTAGGACTTGACCTGAATTATAAAGAAGTCCTTGACTGCTTGAGCCAATCTTGTGAGCCCCAGAGAGCAGGGTGTTTGGTCCCCTCAGAGTCCTGAGTACGATTGCCTTCTCTTTTTCACCTTGGCTGTGGGATGTTTTGCATGCAGGATTCAAAGACTTTTCAAGCTCGTCTTCAAGCACAAGTACGTTCTTTGTGCTGCAATTATATTTTTATTCAGATGTTTGCTTGATTTTTATTTCATTGCTCTTCTTTAGACTAAAAGGGCCATAGAAAGACCACTGTATATTGCTGTAGGATTTTAAGCACAAAACATCAGGAAAATGTATATAAAAAAACATTTGGCAGAAAGGCAATTTGTATTTTGTTTGCTATAAATCCTATCTTTTTGGTTTTTAATGCAATTTAATTCCATGCCAGATAACAATGATTTGTGGGCATTGTGCTGTGAGGTGATTTTCCCTTACACAGGTATGTGCCCCCTATAGAGGGTATCACTAAAAAACGTCACTGCTGGTACCTACACAATATCGTTGAGCTCCAGGCGCGTATCTGGGGGAGGATTTATAAGAACATAAGACAAGGTATTCTGGTGATCGTTCATTTCATCTGCAATAGAGACAGGAGAGTAATAAATTGAAGCAAAACATCTTTAAAAAAAAGGTCCAAGCATGAAAAATTAAAAGTATTTTATCAATTTTTTAAATTAAATGTTATCTACATACCTTCTAAATGTGCTATCACTAAAAAAAAAAAGCTTAATGAGCCAAACTAAGAAATAAACGGTTCAGAAATCTCCCAAATTAACTTTGTATAATTTTCTAAACTAATTTTCTTTTTCTTCAAGAAAAATCCTGATACTTTGGTACAGTTTCACAATACGTTTTTGCTAAACTTTAACAATTTAAAGGTGCATCTTCAATATTTTCTTCAACTACTGTATAGTAAAATTAAAATCAATCAATATCTTTACAAAATCATTTATGAATTGAGATTTCATACAACATTTGTAATGAAATTGAGTTATAAAATGCATTCATTAATGTCCTTGTTTACATCTAAAAAAAACTATTTTTTTTCTATTAAAATAATAATGTTTTAGCACATAAACCTAAAAATGCTTGGTATACAAAAAAAAACAACATTTGAGTTTTTTGAGATTGTTTACATGAGCGATATTTAAAACCATAATGGAACTTCTATTAATTAATAATCCTTTCTTGTTAGGATTTATGAAGACCGGATGTTTATCACAAACCCACCTGTGAGTATCACTTAAATTGCCAGGAAGAGTAGGGAAAGAGAATGTCTTACAGTTACAAGTATGTTAAGATTCATGACTAAACCCCATGCAACAAATGCAGTTTGGACCAGTAATCTCTAGTAATACAGAATTTAATTCCATGCAGGAACAATGCTCATTTAGTCTGCTTAGGAGACATATACAGATCACTTCAAGACTTATAACAGCATCCTGGGCCGAACACTCTCCACAATAGAGAGCATCCTGTTCTTGGGCATGCCCTGATAGTCTAAGGCTAAATGTTGATGAGGCAGTTTGGAGTTCAAGATGAGAACGTTTTATTTTAAAAGCTCCATATACAAAGAAAGATCATTCAATTTCGGCGATGCTAGAAGTCTGCAACAATGCAAAAATAATCCAGACTTGATGATAATCATTTCCCATTATAAAGGTAAAGTAAAGATAGACCATGTGTAAATATCTCACCGCAAATCAAAGATCATGGTCCATTTTAACTGGAACAATAACCTCTTTTTGTTGTTCTTCTTTTTATGATAAAATTAGAAGCTTCAAAAAGAGGAAAGTTGTGCAATTTACTCATTTTTCTCAGCTGCTTCGAATCCTGAAACGAATCAAACCTGATATGCAATGGGAGTCTTACAGTAGTTTTTCCCCCAGACTTAAAGAAATGGAGTGTATGATAAAACAGTACAATGATCAAAACAATCTAGTCCAATTCCAGTGTGCTACAGAAGATCTTAGCTGGAAGTGAATTTGAAATGAGGCGAGCAACCACACAGCACGTGAAGACATCATGCCTCATTAAACCCACTTATATTCATATATGACTGGGAGTTTCAAGATCTACTGGCTCACCGCTCATAAGTCACTGCCCAAAAAATGAACTAGCACTTGGATATGCTCTAGAATGGGGCAATCTTAGAGAAATCAAACCGATATTGCACAAAAACTGGCATGGCATTATTATACCTAGCCAGTAGCAGGCTTTTGCAATAAACGGCAAAATAAACTAACAACTGATAAAGAAATCGGGCCAATTATGTACTGTATACTGTGATGAGAACAACGCCAGTTTTTTTCTTGCATTGTTCTCATCATAGTATACATATACATAAAGTTTAAACAAGAATAAGATAAATACTTGACTGATGACAAATTACTGATGTGATCATAAAAGACATGCAAAAACAAAAGATGGATGTTCCACTTGGCAGGATGTATTCTGTCATCAGTTAACACAAGCCTTTAATAGAGTACATTTAAACATTGAAAGAAATACCATATCTTACTATTACTTTAAAACACTTCAGGATCACACAATTTATATTATATTACTTAAATTATAGTATATTACTAATGTGGAAAATTAAATAGCTTGAAGACTGTAGTTTTTGAAACACACTTTCTTTTTAATGGAACTTAAAATATAATGTTTTAACACATTTATTCAAAAGAAAATTGGTTACTAAAATTATTTTCTAGGGTTATTTTGTTTCCATAGGTTCAAGACAAACATGTTTGAAGGTGTAAAGAATTTAGTTACCCTTTTTACATGGTTAAGTGACACACAAACACCATTTATGTTTGTTAATATTTTTATATTCTGATATTTTGTTGTTTTATTTCATTACCATCAGTAAACGTAAGTAAAAAACCTCATTTTAATAGTGTCTCTTTTTTGTTTACATAATGCGTTTATCTAGTCCTATTTTTCTGAACATCCTATTTACAGCTTATATTAGATCAATCAAAGAAATGGTGTAAATCCAAAAACATGGACAGCAATCAGAAGCCATTCGGCTTACAGGCCCCATCTTTCATCAGTTTAAAATGTTCTTATAAGGCGAGTGCCTATGAAATTAACAGAATGTGCGTCAAAGAAAATCAGAGTAGCTTTTGAGTCTGTTAAGGTGAAGGACTAATTCAATTTCCTGTGAGTGCCGTCTTCAATCCCAAGAAGGAAATGAAAATTTGTAAAGATCTATCAATTGCACTTCTTTGCCTAATCCACTTTTAGTCTCTTTGTAATTATACCTATTATGAAATGGTTCCTAGATGATGAACTCCAGGATTTGTTGGGATTTGCAGGTCTAATTAGATTTCTGCTCCTGAAGAGCCACTATGACTCCAGTGTGACAAAACAATCCCACCTTTAGTCCTTGGCCTGGGCACAGTTGCAGAGCTGAGACTCATGCAATCCATCCCTCATGAGTGCACTGTCAAGCATGTGATCTAACTGTAGCACACTACAAAGGTCTTTTAAAGCTCACAAAAGGGTATTTCTGAACCAGGACTAGATTGATTAAAGGGGGGGTGGGGTAAAAAAACAAACAAACAGATTATTTTAAAATGTAACACCAAGAAAAGAGAAAGGGATGAAATTGGTTGCGATGTTTCAATCAGCACAAACACTGCTAATTTGAGTTGGGTAACTGAATGATCTCCCAGTGTTCATCAGATGCTCATAGCCCTCAGCTGAACTGTTCCTGTTAGTTTCATTTTTATTTGTGCTATTTCTGCTCCTCCACACCACCTCCTGAATAGTTTGCATGCTTGTTGTGCTGGACTAAGTAACCTTTACCTTACGAAGCACTAACCCCATTGCAGAGGGAGTAAGACATCTGTAATTATGTGCTTGAATGCTTAGAAAGGAAATGCAAGTAGGAAAGCAAGAATTAAAAAAGGCAAATAGAAGAAAATTCTGCATTATCCTTCAACCAGCCAACTATTAGAGAAAACTGCTCACCAGTTTTGTCTTTTTTTCAAAGAAAATCAGGTCAGATGGAAGATGCTCTTCTGTTATCTCGTCTTTCCCAAGTAAACATGCTTTACTTACTCTGTTCTTCTGACAGTCTGATCTATTGCCTTATTTCAAAATATTGGAATTAAGAGCTTGTTTACAGATAAAGTGATCATGATGTTATGATTGTCATTCATTTGCCTAGTGGTTTTCCCATGTAACTTCCAAATGGCTTTTGAATTGGCACATTCACAGTTACTATGACCATAAATACTTTAAGGTGGAGTTTTTTTAATACTCCAAAAAGCGTTGAATATTTTTGTAAGTAATCGGAAGATTTCCCTTGGAGCTGAACTTTTATATTCATATATATAGTTCATTAGATATTTAAAACTGATAATCTTGTTGGGCTTTTTCATTTTAATCTCTAACCTTCATTTCCCAGAGAGGGTTTTGCATTCTTGTATTTCAGTAGATTTTCTCTTTGCAAACAGCAACCCTAGCAGAAATAAGGCAAGGCATTAAAGAAGCATTTTCCATCCAACCTCATTCTTGGGCTATTTGTTATAAAGCAACCAAAGCACGCTCAATAAAAGAACGCCAGCTCTTAGAAACAAACATTATAAATACTAGCATATTTGAAGATGTGAATCTTGGCAATTATTTACAATGTAACAATAACAGCTAATAAGAATAATGTCTTATGTGGTTGCAATAATTGTATTGGGAATAACATAATTGTTATCAAAGGACAGAGAAGCCATTGATGTCCTTTAACAGGCATCATAGTTTTCAGATTGTTTGCTTTGGCCGTTTTGGACTTCAATACAACACCTGAAAGATTGCGTCTAAAACAATCACGCAAATATTTTAGGCATTTAAACAGAAGGGGAAATACAGTTAATTACAAATAAGACTACTGTCTGAACAAGCGATCTAACTTCATAGGACAACTAAGTGCTTTAGTATGCTAAAGGTACTAGGAAATTAGTTTATGCCAGATGATAACTATCTTGAGATCAAAGTTATGACAAATAATTCCAAAATTCCAAGTCACTTTATCATCTGGTACTTTGGTGGATTCTAGATCTTACAAATAAAGCATTTTTGCTTTGGACAGAAATTTAGACAGCATTGTATGGCTCACAGATGACATAGGATTCCACTAGCGAATTTAATTTTAATGGGAGGCCTGATGCAAGATTACAATCACATCTTCCTATTTCTGCAGCTCTGGTGGGTTCAGCTTATTGAGCGTGTCCCGGCGTTTTGCTCTGATACCCAGGAGAGGAATTACCTTGCAAATATCCTAGGTTTACCCGATTCATCACATCACTCGCTGTTAAATTTGCTACATCCTCTACAGGCCACAAAAAGAAAACACACACACAGACACACAGAGAAACAGAGAGAAAGGAAGAAAGGAAGAGAAAGGTCAGGCAAGCAGTGGCAACAGCAGTTCAGAAAAAAAAAGAAGCTTGGAGCCACGGCGGAATTAAAAAAGGCTGGAATGAGGAAAAAGAAGGAAAGCAGGCGAGGATCCAGAGGTATCGAAAGACTGTGAGGCATGAGAAGCTCCAGACTGCTGTCAAGCCACAGGCTACACAGAGCCAGCTACAGCTACAACTGGGGCAGTGTGGTGGCTCTGTGGTTAAGGATCTGCACCTGCAGCTAGAAGGTTACCGGTTCGAATCCCGCAGTCGGCAGAGGAATCCCACTCCATTGGGCCCCTGAGCAAGGCCCTTAACCCCAACTGCTCCAGGGGTGCTGTATAAATCGCTAACCCTATGCTCTGACCCCAAGCTTCTCTCCCTGTCTGTGTGTCTCATGGAGAGCAAGTTAGGGTATGCGAAAAGACAAATTCCTAATACAACAAATTGTACATGGACAATAAAGTGATCTTCTGGGACAAATCTGCAATATTAATGAAGATGCCTAAGGAAATTTTGCATATTCTCATGCCCCATGAGGAAGCCAACTGTATACGTTAAAGTGTGGTTCTTCCTCAATTATTGCCTTTTCATAGTGAAAATCAATACATTGCAAATGAATGTACCTCTCCATTCCCCATCCTTACCAGTCATTCTGGTTGTTTGCCGATCATTTTCCCTGGATGCAGTGGGGAAGCCCCTATTAGTATCATCTGTTCGAGCCTTAACAATATTAATGTTCATTACAATTCAATAAAACAAACCAGAATTAAGCCAAAAGAATTGAAGACCTAATTATTTCTCAGGATTTGAGAAATGTTCCTATTGCACTTTAGTAAATTACAATCATTACACATTTATGTGTAAATATAAATCATGCTCATCACATTAGTACTTTCACATGTCACAAGTACATTAGAACTTTGAAATGAACCATTATCAAAAGGCTGGAAACGATGACTAGCACTTCCTAAACTTTGTTCCCCACAGAACAGTGAGAATGTTCCCAAGGTTATAAATTAGGATAGGACATTTTGTACACCACCTAGATCATCTGAGTTCTACTGTAGGACACAAATTGATCCAAGAATCTCATCGAGCTGCTTCTTGAAGGTCGATATTCTTTTTAAACTGTTTTTATATCCATTTTTATTATGCCTAAGAGACAAATCAAGATTGATGAGGTTTTCCTGCACCCTAAAGTACTAAGAATTGACTTATGACTTGACTTGTTGTAATTGGCTGTTAGCAGACGATGCATAGGTACATGAACCTGTGAGAGAAAGAAAATGTGAAAGCAATGGTGGGGAATGGGATGAAATCATGCTGAACATTTCACTGAACATTTTCCAGTTTCATTTTCGTATGCAGAAAACACACATAAATTATATGTAGTTTGGGTCAGAAAATTGGATTATACACTATATACTGTGCAACACAAAGGGTTATTAAATGACAGGGGGTTGCTAGTATTAACCTTATTTACTAGAAACGTAACTTTTCTAAAGATGTTTTTTGTATTTACTGCACACAATACTGCCCTTATCTGTTAGTCTTAAATGAAAAAAAAAATACCTAGCATAAAATGGTCAAAGAATATTGCCCAACAAGTACACTAACATAGATTACATAATAATTTTTGTAACTGATAGGGAAATCACTCCCTCTTTCCTTGATTTGAAAATAACTTTGTCATCTCTATTGGTGTATAGAAAAGTAATGTGCAAAAGGATCATTACTGGGAAAGTCTTAGGTTAAAAGATCAGCTAAACTCTAGAAGGCAGAATGATAGTTTCAATACCAAAAAGCACTACCAGCCCAACATGGAAGTGCAGTAACAGAACTTCAGTGTGTAGGTTTGATTCTTTACTACACATTGTTGTTGTGCTCTTGAGCAAGATATTCTATTCTTATTACTCCAGTCCATCCATTTAAATGAACAGATACCAGCATTGCTGGAAGAGTCTCATGTGGAGGAATTTATGAACTTTCAGAGCTCTTGACACCACAGACACCAAGATAAGCTCTTGCCTGATGGAACATTGAAATCAGTTGGCTGAAATCAAAGCATTGAAGCACTTTCTGTGACAAAATGGAACCAAATGTGGATACCACTGTATACTGTATGCTTTTTAAAGTTTACATTTGTTATTAGCACTAATGAAACAAACCAGATGATGAAAGCTGCTTTTCAAGTATTGTAAAGCAGGTGAAAATGCTACAGAAACACAGTAATGTGTCTGGGAGCCCACAAACAGGGGGGGAGGTCTGTACTTACCATAGCCGGTGGTAGGCAGCCCCAGGTGTTTCATTCGGTTCTTGACCAGCTCAGAAAGTTCCTGCCTTTCGGAGCGGCGGTACAGGTTCAGACGCTGCTGGCTGAAGCGCTCGGTTTTGCTCGCCGGCTTGTTCCCTTTCCGGCTCAGTCTCCGGGCCCACTGCATGCTCTTTTTCCTCAGCAAGGGGTGCTCTGATTGGTCGCTGGAGGTGGAGTTCCTGTGGGTGCTTTTATTGCTCCAGGAATCCCTGACCTCCTTGGTGTCCTCACAGTCTTCCACGTTGATGGAGATCTGAGACTTGACCACAAACAAGACAGAGCATTACCCAGAGACTTCTGATTCCAGAGAATCCTCACCTGCAGATCTGGACTCCAGAATTCAGCTAAAATCGTTTTAATACTTCAAGTGTTTTTTCTTTCACAAATAAGACTGTCAGTAATATGGTCTGTTTTGAATTTTTATTGCAAAAAGGCTGCAGCATGCAACCTTTCTTTGGACTTATTTCTCTATTGACGTAATACTCATCTTAACAATTATAAGAGTATGAAATTGTGCTAGGCAGCAAGAATTGAACAAAGTGGGAAGTGATGATGTATACGTACCTGAGCACAAATATCCTGTGACTGAAAAGGAAAAACAGAAACAAAAATGAAAATGTTTCTGAGAAATAAAACAATATGTGTGAAAGATTTTTCAAATTTTGGTACTTCCACCAGGCAGCAAAAATTAAAGCATTAGATGGGAGTGTTTCAAAACAAATCATATTCCTTGGAATTGACAAAATGAAAATGAAGGTCATCTACAGTACATCACCACACATCTAATGGCAAGCTCTTGTTTTACAACTAATTTTTGCAAAATTTGACACCTGTCACTTATTCCGACGAAGTCAGTCACACAAATGTCATTTAAAAATGTTACAGTACAATTTTAAGACAGACAATTCTTATATGGAAAAAATGACAATACTGTCTAAAATATACAAATAATATATATTTGAAGTTCAATAAACTAAAGCCTTTCTCTCAAAGATGTTTACAAAATAATTTAATTTTCATATTTGTTAAGCTCTTCAAACTTGTTCTGAGTTTATGAAAAGAAGTACATGAAACAGCTTGACTAAGTCAAATGGCACAGAGGCCGACTTGACATTACTATGAAATGGAACAAGTAATAGGTTTATTCCATGCTGAAAAATAAGAAGAAAGAAAACACAATGTTTCGGCCGTGGAGCCTTTTTCAGGTGTGAGGGCTGCTGACGCAGCTACCCACCTGAACTATTACTATGAAATGACCTAGTTGGACATAACTCAAGGAAGCAAAAGCACATTTATGTTTGAAACTCTCACAAAACAGGAGCCATGCTTTCATTTTTCTGTCATCCATGCTCTTGTAGAGTCTGAACAGCTTCGGTCTCACCTCAGACGTTGAGAACATGTGTGACTCAGTCCTGTATATCCCTATGGGGATTTCAGCACTGGATGAACAAAGCTTTTGGAATAACCTCCCATAAGTCCTTATCCATAAGTCTTCTTCTGTGACCTTCATCTGATTAAGAAAAATAAATAACAGCACAAATTAGTATAGAATTACCAATAATCATCATCATCACATCATGTACAGTTTGTACTGCTTTACTCAGGATACAGTACTTCTGGTCAATTCACAAGCTTAAAGTTTCAGTTTTGGCTAATTTTGTTTTAGTAAAAGTCAAGACTGTCTTTATCTCTAACATTAATACTTTATCTCTAACATTAATAAAGACTAACATGTTAGGACTCCTCTAAAGTCCTTCTGCTGACACTTCTTGCGACATAATGAAAAAGAAAACAGGATGATAGCTCCTGGTTTTGCAAAATCAAATTAGGGTTTGAGAGAACCTCAAAGAATTTTTCAACAAGACTACTAAATGGTGTTATAATAAAAGATTAAGTGCATAATAAATGTCCTGATTAAATAATTCACAATAACTTGAAGGGTAAAAACATATTAGTTTTGAACAATACTGATTAACCCTCAGAGGACAAGTGTCAGGTGTCTTGACAGAGAATGAGAAAGCACAATACTCACAGCACACAGGTATCCTGACCCAGGGGTTGTGTCAAGGCCCAGTAATAATCTTGCTATGGGTATCATGTAGTCTTTTACAAACGACTGATTAACAACAACAAAAAAGAAAAATGAAAAAACCTTAAGTTAATGTAGGAGGGTTAGGCATTAAAACAGCTCTTGAATAAAATCTGATGTTTTAGGAATTGGGCTCGAGATGAGAGAAGACAGACAACTGGTCTACATTAAAGAAAAGAAGGCTGTTTAATTGTATGCAAGATTTAAATAAGAATGTAAACGTATTTTTAGCTGCTTTAATTGAAAGTTCATCTTTAGTTCATTGTGTTTAGTTTTTTCATTGCTAATGTAACTGTAGTAGGACTTTCTGCAAAGTTGTTTTCAACAAAATATTGGATTTTGGTTCTACACAAAAGTTTGTTTTATTTTATTTTTTTGGATGCTGCAATTCAACCTCTCCAAATCCACCCACTGTAAAAGTACTACTAATAATGGTAGCTAATTGTGACGCAACACATTGAAACTGATTCAGTTATTCACATCTTCAGTGGATCAATCACAGGAGAGCTGTTCTAGAATGTCATCTACAGATGGGCATTACGAGGTTATGAAATCCGTACTGGAACCAATAGCAGTTGTTGAATTTTTAAGACATCTAAGTATGGGTTTGGGAGAATAAAAAAACAGCCACAGAGCACTCTGGAAAAACAGCAATCCTACGGTATGTCATCAGGGCAGGTGTTATGCCCACAACAGACACTGGAGGGCACTGCAGTTCTGCTACACAGAGAATGTTAAAACTATTACAATTCTGACAATCCAGCCGAATACATCAGCAAAAAACAGAACGAGACACATTGTTCAATTTCAGCTATATCACTGTAAGCTGTCATTATTTTTTTCTGGGATGATCAGCAGCACATTCTAATTTATATTCCAAAGGCAGCTGCATTATACTGCTGTAACTAAATTACACAAAGTGAATAGAAAATAAGGGTACAAGAAGATAAATAACCATGAAATTACAACAAACATGACATTTCTGTGACCACGCTTTTCATCAGGAATAATGTCTTTATACTACCTTATTAGCTTCTGAAATTTCACATCCACAAATTTCTTTCATTTTTTATTTAATCATGAAGTCTTCCTTCCTTCTTGCACAGTACATAAACATTTCCTTTTGGTTACTGGAAAGGGAAGTTTGTTGTATTATAATTCTGGGACATGTTTCTTTAAAAGGAAGTGCCTTTCTTAACTTTGAAGAAGTTAAGGATCTCACTGAGTTATAAAATTATCTCAACATTTCTGACATAAAAACTATATTTTGGCACTCGCTAAAGTTTACTTCAATTTGATCAAAAAACCAAAACCACAAGCTTTACTTAAAACAAACAACCCATTGGTACTAATTGAAAAGCTGACCTTAAATAAATTACCACTGAAGATGCTTGAGAAGAAAACACTAAAACAAAATGTGGATACTGACAGAATTGATTTTTATGACCTTTGACTTTAATGGTGAGCAAAATTTAGCATTCAGATCATTTCTCAAATAAAAAAGCACACAAATAAGCAGCTGGAGCTCAATGCTGATTGGGCACTGGAAAATAATCATATTTCTTCTGAACTCATTTACAGAGCCATGGGGAGGCATTCAATTAAAATGCAATTTCTACGTCAAGAAAGGAGAAGCTGAGGCTGCCCAGACTATTTTCAAATTGAACGGTAGGGAATTCTATCAAACTGATAACAACAATCTGCATAGGAAACACGGATATTGGGCATAAATCAGATCTTAAAAGATGCAGTTCTAGCACAAAGAAAATACCTGTCAGTCTTGTCTTTCAGTAAGACAGAAACGAGTGCAGGAAATGTAGGACCCTCCAGCCTGGACTCACCTGGTACAGTAACGTGTCCAGCATGCTGATGCTGAACACTCTCCCAGCTGCAAAGGGAAGCCGGAACATAAAGGCCAGATTGGAGCCTTTTTCGCGCTCCTTCTGAAAAACAAGAAGGGTTGGAACCCATAACCGATGGTGCTGAGGCTGATCCACATCGGGGACATAGATTTTCAAATGAAAATATCCCAGATTTTCAAATGACCTGATTCAAGTTTTTTTTACAAGCTTCAGAGGATGATCCCAGTGGACTTTTTTCAGAATCAACGGTTGAAATACAAACCAGGAGACATCAAAGTGAGAACAGGAGACTCTTTTTTACTTGAAGGGTTGTGGGATCATGTTACGGGCTTCCCAGGTTTGTTTTCTGGAGTTGATGATCTGGCTTCTTTCAATTAATGGCTGGTATTGGATCCTTTGATCAATAAACTACTTAGGCCATGGACTAAGGGACTGAATGACTTCTCTTTCACAACACTTCTTACATTCTTACCCTTTTATACAGTATCTGAGCACAGACTTTCTGTGACTGCACACGCACACAAATGATAAAAACGCAGAGTGTGTAACGTTAATAACAATTCATCTCCTTCTTTACGTTTGGCATGATGCACATTTTCTCATTACGAGCTTTAACTAGGCCCAAAAATGTACTGAGCAAGATGTGTAGCGTATCAAAGATGATAGGGACATTTCACTTTTAGTGAAGAAAAATAACAAAAAAAGTTCTACTCTTGGAAGGAATGATACTGTACCCCTCTTATCAGGTGTCTCCAGATCTTCGAAAGCACTGGTGTGTGTTTTTCCTTACCTTTTCCAGTTTGGAAAGTGCCAAAGAGTAGCAGTCCTTAGCTCTGAACTGCATGAACCTCATGTTGGAGGGGTGTGTGAGCTCTGTGATTATACTGAGGCTGGGGAATAACCTAGGAAGAAAGAACAAGATGCATTTTTTGAAGAGCTCTTACTTTAGGAAATGACAGCCACCAACCTGTTGCTGCTATATGAATGAGTCCAGGGTCACAAAACTGCTAGCAAGATCCTAAAATACAGCAGCAGAGCTGCAATGGCAATGACTTGAATGATTATTTTAAGGGAAGGTATTACAGCCAGGCTGCTGGAGATGCTGAAATGGGCAATCATTTGTGACACCTACCAGAGAAGGGTCGGGAGTCTCTATGAGCCGTCAGGGCTCTGGACTGAATCTAGGTGGCCTTGTGGACTCTTTACCATTCCACATGAACATCTTCAGAAGTTACTCTTTTGCACACAGACACTTATGTGACAAGCAAAGCTCCCACTATTGGCCACATCTCTCATATAAAACAAAAGCTCTGGTTGTCACATCCGTTTATACCCTGAGAGACAGGGTAAATTACAGCTCATTAAACAGTTAATTACAGGCAATTTGGCCAGCTTCCTCTGAACAGCCTTCGGAGAAACGCAGTCTTTCCTGTCCTGCCTGACATACTGTAGGGAGGCCAACAATCTTCAGTGAGCAAGATTACAGAGGGGAGGGATGTATGAGCTCCTGTGGTCCATAATGCATTCCCTCTAAAAACCCTTCCCAAAATTTGGAAAAACACTTTTTATAAAAATGATCTCACCCAACTAGAATTGTTACAACACAAGACCCATAATTTCACCAGAAAGCTAAAAGCCCCAGGCCCCTAACAAGTTTGTAAATTGAGTTTGGTCGGCTGAAAAGCAAAAATGGATTCATCCAACAATTACAATTTACCAGCCTATTACTGGTTGCCAATGGATACGAGATCTGTCTGGTAAACAGAAACCAGCAGCTAGTGTCTAAAACGGGCACGTGTGAAGAAGCTTTGATTTAATCAGAACTTAATCTGAATTTAGAGTAAAAGAGTGTTGTAGCTGAAAAAAATGGCATTTTTACACATTTTCAGGTGGAATAATGCAAACATAAAAAACATGACATATCTGTGGATTATTCACTATTCCTCATGAAACCATGCTGAAAAGCCCATTATTGGGGAGCGCTAGAATGGGGATGAAACATTAGGCAGACCTGAACATAGTTTGCACATTGACAATGGTTTTGGCATCGGCCATGTAGTCTTCTTCCGCACTCATTGTGCTCTCCTTGTCCACCACAACAAGATTGTCGGCATAGATGATTCCGCACTGCAGCAGGTTATCCAGGCTGAAAGAACACGAGGCAAGAGATCCTTTAATTTTTACATGACATCACACAATCATTCTGAAAATTGCATCCATTGTGAGCCCCTCTGCAGCCGTTTTAATAGCTGTTATTATCTTCAGCTGCAGGCCCTTGGTTTTAAAAGCCCTTTTAAAAAAGAACAAAACACAGCGGTGCTCCATTTATCCTCATCCAATCCGGACAAGGTTGGTAAGTGCAGAAATGTAGTTTAGAAAGGAATAAATTAAGAAAACTACTCATTTTAAATTGATACATACTTGTCGATAGTTCCAGCCATAAAGTAGACCATTGGGAAACAGCATATCGCTTCTAAAAAGTGGTTGTCTGGCCTGGAGAGAGGAGATAAACACCAAAATTAAAATAAAAAAGGCAACTGACAATAAAAGCCAGTGCCATTTATTGGAGATTCACCTTTTATTTTACAGTACCTGTTTGTTCGAGGTAGGCACTATGGAAAAAAATTACTGATGTGTACGGTCATAAATATGTGGATTTTGATTTTTATTGAATGTATTGTACATTTTGTAGATTTATTGGAAGACACTGAAACCTGAATCCTGAGGGTTATTCCTGATTCAATGTACAGACAGCATAAGCCGAATGAGTGTATTGTTTCTTAATTGAAACTGGCTCGTGACTGCATTTAAAAACAAAAAATAATACGGATGCAATGCTTCTTGTCATCAATTATTCAGTGCATTTGGTCCAAAATCGAAACCTTTTTTTAGAAACAGGTGAAATAAACATTCACAGAGATAAAACGTTTTATTTGCACAATGTTTCCTCTGCCTAGTTTTATTTTTAGTGATACTTTGTATTGTCCAATTCTATTATGCGCATCACATCGTCTCTGAAATGCAAAATGAATCTCAAAAAACATGCACTATGGGTAGCTGATCAATCGTGCACTCCATGTCGGAAATAATGGAAAATTGCAGCAGACTGAACCAATTGAGGGTGGGAGAGTGGCGCAGTGGTTTGCATTGCTGCCTTGCAGAGCTGGGGGCCTGGGTTCAGTTCCCAACCTGGGCTGCTATTTGCATGGAATGTGTATGTTCTCTCAGCGTGTGAGTGGGTTTCCTCTGGGTGTGCCAGTTTCCTCACACAGTCTAAAGACGGTTTGGTAGGCTGACTGGCTTCTGGGAGAATTGGCCCTGGTGTTTGTGTGTCTGTCTGTATGTCTTTTGATGGCCAGGTGTCCTACCCAGGGTGCACCCTGGTTTGCCCCCATTGATTACTGGGATAGGCTCATGCTCCCCTGTGATCCTGAACTGGAAGAAGTGGTTGCAAAATGGATGAACCATGCAAACTCCACCAATATCTCCTCTTTGGAAACATATTAGGATTAACTCTCCTGTTCTCGCTATCCTGCAATATGTGGCAACGTGAATTCTGAGGTGCAATCTGAATGATATCACTGGCAACAAATTAGCAAAATGTTCGTATGCTGTGACGAATTTGGTGGAAGGATGGTAATATTGTTACACCGGGAAAAAAGAAACGGGTCAGAAAAAGGAAAGGTTTGTCTGAAAGTGTGCACAACCTGCATGTGCATGTGTGAAACTGTCAGGTAAGGTTAACTCTGACAGAGCTCCAGTCTGCGTGTGCTACTGCTTCTACAGCAATTTGTCAAGCAAGACAAGAGCCTTTCAATGCTAGGCCTTTCAAGGATAATCCCCTTCCCCCATTGCCAACACACCAATTCAGGGTGTTACTGAGTTGCCATGGAAATCCTTTGTAAATGTACAGTACATCTTTTCAAACAAAACATCACCACTCATCAATTTCCCCTACGGGATTAATAAAGTATTATCTATCTAACAGTTTCTTATTAGGATACAAATCTCACATTATTTCTCCAGATATGCCTAGTCTTGTCAGGATGTCTTTAACCTGTCTACTTGAAAGAAATAATGCTAACTAAAAAAAACTTACAGTAATGAATCGAGACACTCCCTGGAAACATTTAATACAAATATGTATTGCCAACTGTTTCTTCCTTCCGGAAGCTGATTAGTACAACAGAGTTTTTTTCACATCATGGAGAAAAAATCCTTTTTTTCATTTAATAATTTGGCATTTAAACAGATATTTTGCGTTTAAATTAGACATTTTTTGCGTTTAAACAAGATTACAGTGTGTTATATATGGTGTATATATTGAATAATATTGTCCCATGCAAAGCAGCATTCTCTTTAACAGCAGAAGAAGCACTGCTCTTTAATAAAATGAATTAACATAAAGGAACATGTGAACTTTTGTGTACAGGAAGTAGAGTATCCTGCGATTGAGCATTCCTAGGTTAAACCAGTGTCTTTTTCACCATTTCTGAAAAGCAGAAATGACATGGCTTTACTAATGTATTTTATTCTTCATGTAAACCTGCAGAAACAGAATACATTTACAATGACTTGACTTATACTTGCTGTTGGTTTACTGCTACTGTTACTGTTGGTCGATGATTGAGTTTTTAAGCATAACTTAGCCTATCCTGACATCAAATACATTTGAATTTGGAATTTGGAAGGGAGAAGAAATCAATTTTTTTGTCTGGAATTGCTGTATCTCTTTACATCATTGTCATTGCATGTGCAGCAGGTATTACCCTCCTCCATTCCACGGTCTGATCAAAAACGGATCGGGTGAGCTAAGAGAGTTATACATTTATGAAGAGTGTACTATTAATGGTGTTTTTCACTATTACGTATCTAGTTCAAATGCAAAAGTATATGCTTTATACGCACTGTTATCTTGTTTAAATGCTATTTTTTTTCTCTGTGGCGCTAATAAGCTTCCGTACTTCCCCAAAAAACTGAGAGATATTAAATAAGACACTTAGTCCCAAATTAACCCACAATCAATTCCAAATAATCTTTAAACACCTGGTGTGGACCACAACAATGAAAAAGTGTGACAACAGCACATTTGGGTTAATGGAAATCCAATGAATTTTTGTTTCCTCCAGGAAAGAACCGAACTTCGTGTTTAATTGTGACTTAATGAATAAACACACACAAGCCAGCAGGAGAGAATATCGGAAATTAAGGCCGAGGACATGACAGTGCTCACGGGTTGTCCAAGAGGAGGACGATGGGGTTCAGCTCCTTTCTGGGGCGATAGTAGGCACGCAGAGGGACAATGAAGTTATACAAGCCGTTCCCTGCTGTCTCCGCTGAAACGATTATCAGCTTGTTCTTAAAGCCGTATGCCTTTGCATCTTCGAAGCTGTTGTGCCTGCAGCCCTAATGCATTTACAATAGAAACACACACAGAACTATAATAAATACATGAAGAAAGAAAACAAATCTGCAATAAACCAGATGATCCAACTCAGGCAGTGGAAACTGTATAAGAATGTAAGAGAGCTCAGGAAAGATGGAGCTCTATCCTGCCTAGTCAAATCCAAGGTGTCCAGGTGATAAAAAAAGAGCAGCTGAAAGGAAAACATTTTACAACACTAACAAAATGAAAGTTTTAAAGCACAGCATGTTTTTGCTAATACACTGGCCTACACTCGTGCTCTCCCAAATTTAAAAAAGTTCTGCAAATGTGATTGGAACAAACATTCCATGACAGACCCACTAGTACTTCAGACTGAGTTATATAATGTACATGAGACTTCCAGTTTCAATTTCTTTCTCACAATATCACCCAGGGAGAAAGGTGGTTCCATCAGATTTCATCTGCTCATTTAGGTAGGAGTGTGAATTTCCCAGGTTCGTGATGAACTCATCGGAAGCAGCCCACTCATCTGAACCCCCTGTACAAGACGATGGCACAGTTTCGTGATTCACTATTCCTTGAGCTCTGTGTTTGCTCTCATAAACCCACTACTGTGAGAGGAAGGAAAAACAACTGGTTTGCTCTTGGTGAGGACATTAAGAGAATGGGTGATCATCTTCAGAGGACAGCCACCCAAACCTGAAATAAACCAACTTGTCACATACTACATGAGGCTGAACTGCTTCCCTGTGTATATTCAGCTTTTATTTAGCTCCATTTAACAAGGCTGTCTCCTGGTCCTCTGTTAGGAATTTCGCTCAACAGTATTCACTTCTGACATGTTATATAGTGCTTTAGGGAAAGCTCTTCGCTTGAAACTGTTAAGTGAAGCTGCAGTAGTTCTTCTTAATTCCTCACCTTGTCCAGCCGCAGACAGCAGAATGGAGCTTTCTGAGGAAGCAGGTGACACAGGGTTGGGGAGCTCCCGATATAAGGGGAATTCGGGGGATAGCCTTTCACGTACCTAAGTGCAAACAAAGAAACAGGAAAATGTTTCATATTCTCTTTTCCAATTAAATCAACTACATCTTGAGTCTACAAAACAGGGCTTTTAATATTTTAAAATGAACAATTCCTAGAGACTTGGTACAGTTTAGCTGTTAACAATTAAGCAGGTAATTTCATAAACTAAATAATTTAGAAACTATTTGACACAAAAATCTGAATCCTCTTTAGCTTATAAGAGCCATGGTTCTACTAACTGAACAAATTTCTTAATCAATTAATCAATTGAAATAAGCAAATGAAGATGCCCTACTGTCTAAAACATACTGAAAGAGGGTAAGAGATTCCTGAACTGGTGCAGTGTTTCTCATTCTTCATATTGCAAGTATCTCAAACACAGATCTGGCTCTGAGGCTCTGAGGTGATTTATGAGCACCTTAATAAAGTGAATGTCTTATGGAGTGTAAAAGACCTTAAGAAAAATCCTACATATGTCTAAATGAGAAAATAACTTGCTTAATTGTTTAACTGACTATTCAGTCAAAAAACAAAACAAAAACAAAACACAAGTCCCTTCAAGGATTGATATTGAAACCCTTGATCTGCAACTTTGTTGAAAACTAACTGCAAACCTTTTCACATCTCCACCATTTGGGGGCGCTGTGAAACCGCAAATAGCAAAACAAAAGTACAGTAATCCTCCTGGGAGATTATTTCATGAAGGGCACTGGCATATCTTAAGGGAACACAATGCAAGGAATTACTTTGAAAAACATCTGAAAAGACCTTTATGTGCATTTTCCCTGGCGAGGCCTTTCAAATGAGGAAAAAGCATTGAAAACAACAAAAAACGAGCACTACAACAGCTGCGGCTAAAAACTAGAACGATGTTGCCAGCAAATTATTCTCAGGACCAGGCTGAGTCATCCATCCTCGTGACAGACGACTGAAGCTGCTGTCTTTTCACAGGTCTGCTCTGTACACCACACAAATGCAGAGACGAAATCTTTAAACAGCAAAACATAACTACATTGCTGCGAATGTGAAAGTAAAGCACGCACGAAGTGTAATTTCTTTTCACACTATGAAAGGTTTCCTTAAAGCTGGTGGATGTTCTTAAAACAGCTACTGTATCTCCTTGACCTCTGCTTACAGTATGTTTGATCTGTCATCTCTGGGACACATCGCAGCACAGAATAAGACAGATTACCAAAGCCAGGAAGCCTAAAAAAACAGCTATCTGACACAGCACGAGTAGTTATTTTCATTCTTGTGATGCCATTGCAACACACTTACAGCAAATGAGCCCTGTAACATCACGACATGAGCAATTTAAGAATAGAACACACCAAATGCTGAAGCATGTAACCGGAGCACATTTGAAACCCTACTATTTACATTTATAGAAGACTGGAAAACAACAATGGGGTGCCAACATCTTTCAGACACAATCTTCATATGCTCCACTGCTCAGAATAGTTACAGAGAGAGTTTGTCATCTGTGAACAAAACCCCTAGTTTTTAACATGCTGTAGTTCCTGAAGTAGATATTGCACAAAAGACACAAAAAGGAGATACAGAAACCTTTACAACAGATGTATTAATAAACCTTAATCTACCCTACTCATAATTATTATTGTCAGAGAAAATCCATTTTCATTTCAGAACTCCCAGTTAATCACTGCTCATTGTTCTCCAAGTGTTAATAATCCAGTGACGTAGGAAGTGACATCAGAGAACTAGATGCTGTACATTAGGCAGATGAATTCAGTTTAAAGAGAGCAGAAAATAATAGTCAATGTGAATGTGGTACATGAAGCAACAGGGTTTAGTTTGTCACATTTTTCTTTTTGTAACTAATTTTTAATTAATTTTCAAAAACAGAACAAAATGAGCAATAAAATCCAATAACCAAAGTTATTGAAAGTCAAATGGGGGAAAAGGGGGCTGAATTGCACGTTTTTAAGAGGGAAGCACCTGACTTGGCTGACGTGCTTGAATACGTCATGAGCTAAATACGTGAGCAAAAACAGCTAATGTCATATAGCACATCAGATGCTATAATTCAAAATCACTTTTCTTCGCATTTTAAACAACTCATCTTGTGTTCTCTGGGTGTGCAGAGTAGAGGTGGACAAATCCATATCTGACAGCCATAAAATCTTCTGCTTTTAATTCCTGCTCTGATCTTAATTACTTAAAGAGGTCAAACCACCTGATTAATTAGGCTGTCATCAGTTGGTAATTGAAAATAAGTAAAACACCTTAGTATTTCAGCCCTTGAGAATAGGAGATGCCCATGTTCCATTGTTTCAAAATGTTCAGGCATCTACTCCAATTAGGACAGGATACTTTAATCCCTATACTCATTTTATACTCATTTATTCACAAGTAATCAAGATCAAAGTAATTATTTTTGATGAATTGCACATCATCATAATGATGTTCCTCAAGCTGAGATTTCTCCATCCTATCCACTCTAATTCCATCCTGCTATACAGCTGTCTTTGTTAAATATGCCAACCCTTTGGCTAGGGCAGCAAACTGGGCAGCTTATTGGCTGAGTCTTTAGAAACTTTAAATCTGGCTCATTGTTGTGATCTAGAGAGCACAAATCAAAAGATAAGATAAGATCACTTTATTAGCCATATACAATTTCTTGCATTAGGAATTCGTCTTTTCTCATACCCCAGCTTGCTCTCCATGAGACATACAGGCACACAGATAGGGAGAGAAGCTGGGGGTCAGAGCACAGGGTCAGCCATTGTACAGCACCCCTGGAGCAGTTGGGGTTAAGGGCCTTGATCAGGGGCCCAACAGAGTAGGATTCCTCTGCCAGCTGTGGGATTTAAATCAGCAACCTTCCGGCCACAGGTGCAGATCCTTAGCCACAGAGCCACCAGAAAAGGGCACTAAACAGATTATCAGCAGCAAATCTAATGAGTTCGAATCAATAATGTCCAATAAAAAACATTTAACAGAAGATATCTGATCACTGTACAAGAGAGATAAATGAAGCTAATCAAAACACAATTAAATTATGTTCCCAAACTAGAGCCAAAGATACAGCCACACAGAAAATTATATTCTACGGGACTGGTAAATAATAATTAAAATATGTCACATCCCCTCAGGCTTGAGGCCAGAAGCCCTCTCTTCTTTCAACCTTATGCAAGAGGCTTAGAATTTTAAGACAACATAGAATCATATTTCTCTTTGGTTCACAGTTAATATATTAGTAACACGAGAACTGGCAAAATAATCAAAGTGATAACAAACTAACTTACTGAAAGGAAAGAACTGAAAACCTGTTGTTTATTTACTTTTAAATCAAGCCTAGTTGTTTGTTTAAAGCAGAAGCAGTCAGCCATAGGACAAAGGCCCAGCAATAATGCTCAAGATGTGAAATTAAACTAGTTATTATCTGGTCACAGGCATATTATGAGTGATACCTTATCATAACCTTGAGTAAAACACTATCTGGTATTTGGTCATGATTTCAGATTTCATCTTCTCTGCTTCCAAATTAAAATCCTTTATGGACTGATACTATTTAGAAGTTTCTGCAGTACAAATCCATACACAAAAAGTGCAACAGATGGTTTCCAAGTAAATGTTTAAAAATACAGTTACTATATATATGGAATCAGCTTGGGATGACCTATTATTAGTTGGGTTTAACTGTAGTAGAAAAGATAAATACCTTGTTTGAAGCCTGCCCTGCTCCACAAGAGAGATGATCAATACTGAGACTAATGGTTCTCTGGGGGACTGTCTGACCATAAAGTGAAATATAATCCTCAAAATATCTGCCCATAACTGACAGTGTTGTCTAAATTTCAAAATTGGCTGTAAACAATTGTAGAAGGTGTAAACTTGGAGACCCTAGAGGTGTTTCTCTGGCGATGACAGGCAGTTTGCAGTCATTTTGCTGTATTTGAAGACAGGAGTACATTAAAAAGCAATAGCCTAGTCGGTTTTTAAACTTTTTCCTCTTATCCCAGATAATTTGAAGAAGAGTTTCAAATTTAAAATGAGACATAGCTACTGCCCGAGAGTGTCTGAGAAAAGATACGAACCTGTGGCCTAAGCAAGACAGATCTATCAAAACACTTAGATCCTGTCAACCTCTGTGTGAAAACTACTTCATTGAAAATATATCTAGTGTATTTAACTAAATAATATAGAACAATAGAATCCTAATGTAGCTGCGAGAGTTCATCTTGTTCCTAAAATTTGCATGTACATGTGAGAGATACAAATATACATCCATCCAGTATCAATGAGTCCATGATTGGTGAGGGCTGCAATAAGCTGGAGACTATTTAAAGACCAGAAGGGACAGGGTGAATCTTAGAGCACATGTCTGCATATCCCCTGGGCCACGGAGAAAGGGATAGCTCTGGCAATCAAACTTAGCCAGCATTTCTCTGGAAGGAAGAAGGACTGAATGTACCAGGCCAGTCTTTGAAGGCAATGTAATGACACTGACTGACACTAGAGCCTGCAAAAAGGCCTTGAGGAATTTTATTGTTTCATCAACCTCTTATTTAAGGTGGCACATAGAGCATCCAGAGGATGCCTACATGAATGTCACAAAGCGTTTCTTTCAGGACAACAATGCAGACAACACAATCTGGGAGGGAGTGAAGGAAACACGGGGAAAAAGACATGCCAGGGCCTGCAAGAAAAACAGGGGGCGTGTCCATAATGCGCTGGTGTTCGGGGGAGGTGTGGCCGAGGCAAACAGTCCAAGGGAGTCCAAGGCAAATCTGGGAGTGTAGCAAATGTCCAAGACCGGGTAATCCATCCTGACAGACAAACAGAGTTAAACCGGAGTGGGATCCGGCAGAGGGTCAGGGGAATTAAAAAGGGGGTAACGGGACCAGATGCTCCCTAGTCCTGGACTCAGTAGGTCAGGATGCCGTGATGAAGCCTATGCCGTCGAGTTGCTCCTGGACTCGCGGGTAGGCAGGCTTCCAGGCGTCCAACTTCCAAAGCTGAGCCCCGATAGGCAGGAACGCCTGGCTTTTATAGCATGGGGGGCTGAAACTGGAGGCAGGTGCGGGAGATGAGTATAAAACAAGGTAGGGCTGGAGCGTCCTTAAGAGGAGGGGTTTACGATCGTGACAATGAAGACAAG